GACTAATCCCAGCCCTGACCAACTAGTTGGGTGCCTAGAGAACCCCAGTCTCAATCAGCTCATGACTTGCCCCAGATGAGCAGAGTCTGAGCCATAGAGGTCTATGTGAGGAGGTTTGAGCCATCCCTCTTTACAGGATCCCAGAACCACAGACAACCGTAGTACAACACTGACTGGGCTTTACTGATGACTGATCACTGAGAGTGGGGTGACACTGCCTCAGAGAAGAACCCACTTTGTGATCTCACTCTGGGGGATACAGACAGCTTACAAACCCGCCTTCTCTGCTGTTGTTATCTTTTCATCATTCTCATCTCATATGAAGAATTGTCTTTCTTTGAACTGGTGTATTATCTGATGCAGATCAACTGATTAATTCCAAAGGCTCTGGCACCCATGTACTGATAGCACTGGAGTGGAGGGAATTGTTTCATGTAAAACCACAAAAAAATGCAAAAACAGGGAAATGACTCTGGGTTTTCAGTAAAGGCCAATTCTGTGTTTCTTCGAGATGACTAGGTTATTTATTCTGAGCAATGAAATTAATGAGGATAGTGGGTATAGGTAGAAATTAAAGAGGATTAATCTCTCCACTGTATGTTTTATTGTATGTATACAAATTCACAATATTGTGGCATTCTGTATCGCCATTTGAAATGCAATTATTGTTGGGGGTAGTATACTTTCAAATTTGCTCAAATGAAACCATGTGGAATCAGAAATGAAGAAAAGGTGCTCAGGTCTGTGTTTGTCCTGACCACTGGCAGGCTTGTGTTTTTACAGTAAACGGGAATTGAAGCATTTTGCTTGAGCAGAGACCTGCACTCACTGCAGGCCATTAACCTCCTCATTTCATTACTGGATCGTGGTCACATGAGCAAAACCCGCTCCCCCTTATAAAAACATATTGAAGAAAGAGAATGTGGCCTCTTCTTCTCCTCGACTTGATCTCCCTTGAGAAAGAGACAGCCGTCTTGAAAGACTCGTGGCCATCTGAGAAACCAGCATCCATATGGAAGAACCATCAGACGTCTTGAGAAACTGACGGCCGTCTTGGGACACTGGGGGCCATATTGTTTTGTTTGATCAGGGACTATGAGCTCGGCTGGTTCTGCCTCTTCAAAGCCACTGAACGTTTTCTACTTTCTGTGACAAGGGAGTCAAACAAGCTTCAGCCTTAGTGGGGTAGCAATATCAGACACCTTGGGTAATGTTTTATAAAAAAGATCTAACCCTCACTCTGTCACCCTGTGGGTCAGGCAGTGCTACAGATCTGAGCTTTCCCTGCTCCAGAATTGTTACCGACATCTTTAATAGGTCTGCAGAGGCTTAGAAAAGATCCCGTTATAAAGTATCTGATTTAACGGAAGTCCCACAGGGTGAGCCAGTCTGTGCAGCTGAAGAAGCTTAGGGGCGGAGCGGTGGCTCTGTGGCTCAGGATCTGTGCCTGTGGCTGGAAGGTTGCTGGTTCAAATCCAACACCCAGCAGAGGAATCCTACTCTGTTGGGCCCCTGAGCAGGGCCCTTAACCCCAACTGCTCCAGGGGTGCTGTACAATGGCAGACCCTGTGCTCTGACCCCCAGCTTCTCTCCCTGTCTGTGTGTCTCGTGGAGAGCCAGCTGGGGTATGTGGAACGATAATTCCTAATGCAAGAAATTGTAAAGGGTTAATAAAGTGATGTTATTATTATTATTGAAAGGGGTGACTGGACCACCTGCCACCACCTGCTCAGTGTGCTGCTACTGCGACCCCTGTGGTCGATGATGGGCTTGAGTTTAGACTGATATTGGATTCGAGTTTATTGCGTGACATTTGTCAGTTCACCCACAGCTTCTGGAACACGTTGGTGCTAAAATGACAATTGACATTTTTTTTTCTGCGATTTACATTTTATTACTGCAGTTGATAAACTATTAAAAGAATCTCAACAGTAAGTGCTTGATATTTTTTAAAGGGCATTTTACTGTGGAGTCCAGGAAGGCAACGCTTTATTGAATTTCTGTAACTGATTGATCCACAAAGTACATATTTATGTATCTGCAAAGGAACAAGTAAAGGTGTTCGGGTGTCATACACCCAGAGAAGACTCCACAGCCAAAACGTTGTTTCTTTTCTTCTCTCTTCAGCAGGAATAAACCTTTACTTGTTCCTTTGCAGCCTGCGCACGCTGACGCAGTTCCCTACTTGAACTATGTGTGCTACGCTATCTGCTATTCCATATACAAGTTGTAGAGAGAAACGAGAAATTTTATAATACCGAGAAAAATTATTTGTGAGTGCAAACCTGCATGCTGTTTATTTCATTTGAATTTTGGTTGGTTTAATTATTTAAAGCAGGGTGTGCTTCATTTTATACAGTGAACTAAACTTGTGTCGACTATAATTAAATGTGTATACGCTAAGATTATATTGCTTACATGTGTTGGGAATTAAAGACATTAAAATTCCATTTTATTCATCATTTGATTTGACGGTTTAAGCACTTAGTTAAAATAAAAGTGTGTATCTATTAGCTGATTCAAAGTCACCCCTCTCAACAGAAATTCAAAACCATTTCCCTGTTTGAGCTTCACTGCGGTTTATCCAAAGCGATTCTAGTCACTCCAGTGTTATCAGGACCTCGGTGTCAAAACCTGTGGAAATTATCTGCTGTATCAGATCAACACAGATCAGAATCTCACAAAGAGGGTACAGGTAGCTTAGAACTGTGAATTCCTTCAGCTGAAGGAGAGGCAGCAGCACCAGAGGAGACAGGTGCACTTCCATCCATGTATTGTCTAACCAGCTTTATCCAGTAAAGGGTCGCAGTGCAACCCGAGACTAACCTGGCAGAAACAGGCACAAGGCAGGGTACACCCTGGATGGGGCACCAGTCCATCATGGGGCACACACAGACACACTCATACCAGGGCCAGTTTTCCCAGAACCCAAGTAACCTACCAGCATGTCTCTGGACTGTGGATGGAAACCCACATGAACGCAGGGAAAACGTACAAACTTCACACAGTTAGCACCCCAGGAATTGTATCCAGGGCCCCCGCACTGCAAGACAGCAATTGTAACCACTGGGCCACCGTGCTACTCTGCAATTTCCCTCACGGGATCAATAAAGTATCTATCTACTCTACTGGCACAGGTTTAATATTGTGAGGCATACGGCCACCATCTCAGGTTGTGCGAGCCGGCTTACCAGCGCGGTGACGTCTCCGCCCTTCCCTGTGGATAGCAGGGACTGCAGCCGCCGGGCTGAGGGGAGATTTCCCTTGAGCTCAACTGGCCGGGTCCCTGTTGACTGATGCCAGAGGCCCGGGTTCAAGTCCCCGACGGTGGGGGGCAGACCTGAGGCGGCAGCGGTGAGGGTGCATGCCCCCATGAACCCCGGAGCGCTACCGTATGTATTCCCTGAGCAGGTCCTCCTGTCCTGGGCACTTCTGTGCAGCTGAGGAAGCTCTCCATGTTCAGGATTCAGCCTCTGCGAAGCTGAAACACCCCAGTGAGAATGCACAGTGCTAAGGGAGCTGTCGTCAGTCATGACTAGCCAGTACTGTGCTGTACTGTTCACACAGCCTCAATCCACACTACTGTGACAATTCTGTTGTCTGAACTGTAGAACGCATCATGTTGAGGTGCTGAAACATTTGTTGTAGGATTCACTATGTCGTATTCATTAAGGGAAACAATTCTATTTCAGAGTCTGATCTGTTAGTTTCAGCCACTAACATATGGTGCATTTGAATGACATGCACAGCACAATTGTAGATGCAGCTGTTTTTTAGCATTGAAAATGTACAAAATATGCCTCATTTTCAAGAATGCAATGGAAAAAAACAGTTACACTAATGCTGTGTGAGGCTCTCAGAAATCCCCAAACCTGACTTCCTTAACACTGACATTGGCATGGGTGATTTCTACCGGCCGAAAAAAACAGCTGAAAATCCATCCAGCTAGGAAAAACTAAGCTGAAATAAAATTCTCAGTCAAGTGACAGAATACAGAATTTAGAAGCACAATATATTTTCACTCGCCAATTTTGGCACTACATTTACCACACACTGCTTAACTGCTGTCATTTTACAGTTCTTTCTCTGTTAAAAAGTTAAAAAGCAATACACGATAAGTAGTATTCAGTTTCCTTCCTTTAATGTCTTCCTTTAACATTCTTTATAAAGAAGTTAAACTCTTTCTAGTCTGTATTCTATTAACAGTCTACAATCGTTATTTAACAGAGCAGTAAACCCTTAGGTCTGCTCTCCAGTGTTTGTGTCCTTATCTTTCAGATCAGATGCAGTACAGTATGTCCAGAATTTAGAGCATGACTGCAGTGCCACTGGATCACTATAGAGGGCGCCAAATACACGGAGGAGGCTCAAAACACGCTGCTGTTTTCACTCGTGTTTTCATAGCTTTCAAAACCCCAACCTTCACAGTAAAAACTTTTCAAAATTTTTAGCAAAGGAATATTGGCAGACCTGGACAAGAGTGCCAGGAGCACCAGAGCATGGCTTTGTCATAAATGATAGCCCAGACGCAGAGGTGACCTGTGTGAATCACCAGCACAAATACAGCCCCCACAGACTCTTAGATGCAGAGCCTGACTCAGGTGTTGATATGAAAAGCACAGAAGTGCCACTGATGTAATAAAAGTGCAATTCCAGTTGCTTTTGAGATGTGGAGCTGGTTTCGATACTGAAGAGTGCCATAAATCAGCACTGCCAAAAGTCTACTGAATTCAATGGCACAGATAAGGAGGTGAAGTCCTGATCTCCTTTGCAGGATTGTGGTTAGAAACAAAAAACTCCCAGTGTTACCCCTGCCACACAGGAAGCAGCTCTTCACATCCAACAGAAATGGACAAAGCCCCCCAAAAAATTCTTCAAGGGGAATTTTGAAATGCATCCCTGCCCCTAATCTTACCTATCTGGATTAATCATACACTCGGGAGTCATGGGCCTGTTTCTGTAAATAAGCAATCTCTGTTTGCTTTGCTAAAGGTCAGATCCCCCCCCTTGGCAGGCCAGAAAGAGACACAAGGAAGAAGCTGCACAGAGACAGAAGGACAGTGGGCTTGACAAACTGAGGAAGAGGAAGAGTGAGAGTGAGAGAGCAGGGGACAGACACTGAGGACAGAGCAGGACTTGCCTCATCTCCACGAGCCGAGGGATGGCCGGTGTCCGTGCTGCGTGCTGCGTGTTTGTGCTGGCCGTGTGGGCGCTGTGTCTGCCGGACACAGGGGGAGCCGCACGGCCCAGCAGGCGGAGACAGCAGGAGAGCCCCATCGACAAGATCGCCGTCCAGGAGGACTTCAACCTGGACCAGGTACTGTACGCGCTGTCTGGAGCCCCGCTGTGAGAGGCGTTAATCACTTAGATAAGATCACTTTATTGACCAAATACAATTTCTTGCGTTAGGAATTTGTCTTTTCGCATACCCCAGCTTGCTCTCCATGAGGCTCACAGAGACACAGCTGGGGGTCAATGTATGTCTGTCAATGTATGGGTGATCCTAAAGCTTACCTGCTTAGCTTAAGTGTTTCGAGTGATGTGTTCAGCCAGGTGACTCATGTCACACAGGATGTAAACAAGATGGCTCCACCACACTCCAGGAACAAGGCTGTGACTGTGCAGAGCAGAGGCTTTTCTGAATGAGCTTCGAGCGGGGGGCTGTGTCAGCACGTGTTGGCCACAAAAACAAGCAAAGGTTAATTCCACTCTGAAAACCAGAAAGAATGAATAGATGCTCTTTTGTGATACACCTCACACTTGAAGAAAATGTTTTCAGAGTAGAATGAACCTCTCTTTTATGAGGTCAATCAGACATGTCAGCGAGATGTAATTCAAAGTCGTTTTCTCCAGAGTAGCATCCTGGCAAACACACTATCTGGATAATCCATTTCCATAATCAGTTAATTAAAAAAATACAGTAGGTTTTGTTCATTTTCACAGTACTGGGTTTTATGTTCCTTGATAGGCATCTGGAGCTTTCTTATGATTAATCATAATTTCAGCCAAACAGGGAATGTATTTTCTTCGGTGCAATGAAAGCTCTCTGCCAGTTGGCCAGATCTGCTGATGGCTGCTCTCTCTCTCTCGGCAGATGTCTGGGAAGTGGTTCCTGATCGGTGTGGCGTCGGAGTGCGAGTCTCTCCGACAGAGTAACGCGGTGCTGGAGGGCACCACCATAACCCTGAAAGTGCCCCCCAAGTCTCCCCAGACCTCCGCCAAGTCCCTCCTGTCCGTGAGCACACTGAGAAAGCTGTAAGTACAGACAGCACAAGCTGGGCAACCCCACCATGAAAAGCTGAATCCGGAAGGCAAACATTTCATTTAACACTGAAGGACAGTAGTGACGAAGGCACTGGGAGGGTGCCTTACTTTCTTAATTCACCCATTTCTAAAACTGTACTACATCTGTGCTTCTCAGCCCTGTCTCTGCTGGTCTCTGTTCCAACTGGGCCCTTAATCACCAGTGTAACTGGTGTCCACAACTTGCTGTTTTTTCCAGCGCTTAGTCTACACCACTGCAGAGTATCTGCAGCCTGTGGTGGGGACACACATCTCTAAACACAACCTCAGTCTCAGCCCTGCACATGCCCCGATGAGGGCTGCATTGTTATGTATTAAAGAAATAGGGAATACTCAAGTTTACCACCAGTTAGTTGTCACAGAAAGACATTTCTTCACCAGTCTGTTGTTTAATAATAATAATAAAAAACTTTATTTTATATAGCGCCTTAAAAGGTGGCTTCTCAAAGCACCTGATACAGAACTAACTGGAGCTGGAAGCTAAAGATTGGAAAGGCTCTGAGTTTCTTAACCCGATGCGTTCCAATCCCCTCACGTGCATATCAAAGTTGGGAGTTGTTCATTTTGTTTTTGTCTTTTATTCTCGTGAAACCTGTCCTAACTGGAAAAGTTCCTTGGCAAGCAGTTTGGTAACCACAAAAGATATTCCCTTCGCCTGCGCTCGTCTTGTGTAACACAAGTCCGGAAAGATAGGATTCGGTGCAGGAGAGACTGCTGAGTTCACCTCACAGGTCCGGGCATGCGTGTGTGAGCCTCTCTGGCAGACTCACGGATCAGATTTTGATCCCGTTTGCCTGGAGATGGCAGTAGAAATGTGATCAGTAATGCCCACAGTGGATTCTGTACATCTGCCTTCACTTTCAGAGAATTTCACATCTTGTTCTCCACATTGTCAAATTTCCTAAGAGAGTTCTGTCATAGCAACAGAACTTTAAAAATGTGTTAGAAACAGTTTGGGGTGCAAACAGGGCCTCATTTTAAATCGGGAGGAATCAGGCTTGTAGTTGAATTTGCATGTTATCCCTCCTACATTTGTAGTGTCTCATGGCTGCACACAGGCAGGGACAGGGCCCAGTAGCACTGCAGTGCTCAGTGCTGGTGGTCCCTCTCTCTTAAAAAATTATGTATTGTAATTATGTATTATTCTTAAAAAAGACTGTCCATCATTATTTCAACTCGAAAGCATGTTGTGAGCATTTAACCTCAGTGCTGATCAATAAATCTAATCTAATTAGATCTACAATCTAATACTTTGCAGAACGTCAGCAGTCCTGGTGCTTTGCTGTCGTATTACAAGGGGAATCTGGGTGAGAAAGTGTGTTTTCTCTTTGTGTGTGTGTGCGCGCGCACAGGGATCTGCAGTGCTGGGACATTCGCCAGGAGTACCATCTCACCCCAACCAAGGGCCGGTTCCTCCTCAAAGGTCAGTCTGCCTTCACAGGAGCGTGGTCCCCAGAGGGACTCGATACTGGCTGCTGGGGCCCTTTGCACAGAGTCTCCTCCAGGAGGATGAGCTGAGGAGAGCATCTACAGTACACACAATACACACATATGGAATACACACGGGATACTGCGAGTATAAACATCTTGACCAAATGACAAAACCGAAATTAACAGATCACAGATCAACAGTTTTCACTTTGTATCTTCCTGGATGTTTCTCATAGATCACTGGTGCTAAACCTTAGGGTGCAGTTCCCAAAATCTGACTGATGCTTTTAATTGCACATTCGTCCGGGATGTTTTTGCATTACAAACTGTTGCTTTGACATTGCAATGTTAGTGATGTGGTTAGGTAATAGAGTACTCCTCCGTCTGCTGCAGAAATCAGTCTTATTCAAGGATTCTCTATGTGCACAGTGGGTATGCACCCACTGTTCAGGTGAGGCTCGTGACCAAGGAGAGCTCCATTACATCAGCACCATTCACAGCAGGTTGTGTAATTCTCGGTGACAAACTCCTACAAAGGGCACTACAGCAAAGCTAAAATCGGTTGGCTGACTGACATTGAACTCTGAGATACTAACACAGAAGCACATGCTGCTACTTGCCGAGTCTCACTCCTCAGGCCCCGGGACATCCAATAACATCGACATTGTGGTCGCCAAGACAGACTACAGAGGCTACGCCATCCTGTATTACCAGAAGCGGGGCAAGATCACCATCAAGCTGTACGGTGGGTAGAGACAATAGCCACGCCTGGTGACACAGCGACAGCACCTGGGCAAACTTAGGGTAGAGTTTAGTTCGAATCAAATTGATTTTTCTTCATGTTTGGAAAGCGACCCATCTGTTGTAGCTCCGGGATCGGTATTTAGTCATTTTGACCCCTGAGGAGGTGTTTAACAGCTTGTGAAGCCTTTTGCGTTCTAGTGTTTGAATATTACCATTGTGTGACGCTTGTTAATAAGTGTGCAAATATGCTTTCTTTCTTAACACAGCATTCCTCAACACCAAGTGCAGCTGTATAAAAAAACTTGGCAAAGCCTGGCTTTCAGAGCCAAGCAGGGCTGCTGTTCTCTCCAGGGGGCTCCATAATAAACCTGTTTCAACCTAATATCAAACTGAGCTCGAACCGCCGGATGCTTCACCGTTGCAGAATGAGAAAGGGATTCAGCAGTGTAGCCTGCGCAAGCTTAGTTCAAGTAGGGAGCTGCGTCAACAAGTAAAGGTTTATTCTTCTTTGAAGAAGAAGGCTCCATAGCCGAAACATTGTGTTTCTTTTCTTCTCTTTTCAGCGTGGAATAAACCTTTACTTGTTCGTCTGCACAAACAGCCGGTGAGAGTGGTTGGTGTTTAATTGACCTCAGAGAGGGCCGTGTTAGTGTCGTGTTAGTGAGGACCAGGACCTGACACAGGGCCCACAGACAGGCGTACAGCCCGAACTGTTCTCACCCTCCCTGGTCCTGAGGCCTGGCTCGCACAGGTCTAATGGCACTAAGCTGCGAGACACGGCACGCCCTTTCCGCATGGCCACAGCAAGAGACGGCCTCTGATCTCCTCTCTTCTTCCTCAGGGCGGTCGACAGAGATCCCAGAAGACATCCTCAACATGTATGAGGATTTAGCCCAAGACCAAAAGATCAGCATCGACTCAGTTTATTACTTCCCCAAATACGGTGAGTGTGCGCCTGGCAGCCCGCGGTCGGCCTCCCCAGCACCGCTCTCCGGAGAGACGTTCACTAGCAGCTCACCTGCTGCCTAACACTCCTGTTACACTTCATAACACACACACCAGCTAACACCGAAGCTAGCCCACTGGCACACATTCATTGTAGAGGAAATTGCATTTTTAAAGTTCAATGAAGACCCCAAAGATGCAGCATGGTGGTGTGAAGGTGCTTCAGCTCTGGGTTGCAGACTGGGATACCCTCTGTGTGGAGCCTGCGTGTTCCACCTCATGCCTGCCTTGTGGCCTGGGATAGACGTCAGCCCACCAATATCCCATAGTGCCCTAAGTGATTCCTGAACGTAGCTGGATGAAATCCCGAAACGCGTCTGGAACTATACTGTACGTCTGATACATGGGGGCCCACCTGCAGCTGGGAGACAGAGAGATGCAGTGAGCTTCAGGTGGGCTCACAGGGTGTGCCAACACAGCCAAGGTGTTCACACCGCCACAGGGGGCAGCAGGTGGGCTCAATTGCTTCGGTGGGACAGGAGGCCCAGCACTGACACTGCCTTCTCCTTTCGCAGGCTTTTGCGAGTCGGCGGACGAATTCCACATCCTGCGTGAGTGACCCTTCTGGTTTCTAGACTTCTTTTCCCCCATTTTTCTCTACGCCAAGCCCACGCGTCGCTATGGCGTCGGCCAGACCTTTTTGAAAAAACAAGAAACGTGGCTACAACCGGCCTTGTGCCAGGCGTGGGCCAGGTGAGACTCCGGCCCAGCCAGCTCCTCGACTGGACGAGGTGGTTGTCTAAAGCCGCTGGCCAGGTGGAACGGCACAGGGAGAGTGGACTGTCACGTCTTGATAGGCGGGGCCGGGGAGGAACACCCACCACAGGACACAAGTGGAAACTATGAGTGCATCCCTGCTGGGCTCTTCTGTGTGTGAAGTGCTTCCGTTCAGCAGTTACAAGCAATAACACAGCAGTAACAATTAGGGTTGCTGATGATGTTATGGTGGGGATTGTAATGATCTAGGGTTCTTCGTACTGGAGTTGGGTGCTGTACCGTAGGTGCAGGTGGCGCCCCTGGCTGGTGCGTGTTAAGAGACTAGTTCTCCCGGGCCTCGGAGGTGCAGACAGTGGTGTGACAAGGTGCAGCTATACGGGAACCGTGCCTTCTGCCAGCAGAGGCTCCCACAGCGCCCGGGGCGAATTCCTCCGCAGATCACGCTATCCCGCCACACGTGTTTCTGGGACTTCTCCTGCTCTTTTCACGGTGTCTCAGCCGTTTTTTTTTAATCTTGTGTGTGTATGTATATATATAAAAGCATCTTGCCTTTTTAAAAAAAAAAATAAACACGCTATCACCAGACCCCCCTTTTTAAAACGTTGTTTTCTATTGATTCTGTCGCAGGTTTGTGAATGTGGAATGCCGGCAGCGCCGATGGACTTCCCGACATGAGCTCAAAAGTCCAAACGAAAATGAAGAGTTTTTTTACGGCAACCCTCAGCTTCAACTTCTTTCTTGTTGTTTTTATTAGGCTACAAAACACCACATAGACAGAAAGACAAATGTGGCCGCTATTTTCTATTACAGTAGCGGCGCTAGCTGCAGTCTCAGCTCCTCTCCGCTGGGGTCTTTCCTTGGACAGACCACCTAGCTTGCGTTCCTCTGCCTGCCAGGTTATGTCAAAGCCCGCCGTGCTGCTCAGGAATTCTGTTTACCCTATAAAGAGCTGACAGCACAACAGTCTGTTTTATTATCTCCGGCTTGCTAAATCATGAGAGCTTTTTCAGCAGCAGAACGTCCTGGAGGGCGGTGTTTTGTCCTGTTGGTGAGGTTGTTTTTTTAGTGCCTGCGCTCGCAAGCGCGCGTGTGTGTGTATTAAAAAGTCACAACTGGGAAAAAAAAAAAAAACCAGAATGATTTGATTTTGTCAAACAGTTGCGTTTCTCAACTCATACCCCTTGTTATTTTTGACCGCGGGATAAAAATACATCATCTTTAAATGATAATGACTAGCTGGTGTTCAGTTTTTGGATAACGGTGACACTTGAGCCTATATTCCCAAACACGTTTATATTTTTGTCTTGGAGATCCAGCGTGCGTGAGTGGTTACACTATTGCATGTCTGAGGTTGGGTACTTGGATGGTGTGTTGTTTTCAAGATATAGCATTTTAGGGTAACATTACAGTAAGTACACTAACTGTATAATTATAAATGAAGTCACGTTTTTTTTTCCTCCTTTAGTTCATGGGAATATCTAGCGTATGATGTCACCCTGTACTTGTGATATTCTTGATGTATTCGTACATCTCTTATCGCATACATGGATCTGGTATCGAGGTTGCCGAGTTTTAATGATTCCACTGAGGGGCAGCAATTAAGAAAACTGGAGTATGTCCACTTGATGTACAAATGGAGTATGTCCATTTGTATGGACATAAAAAAAGACATTAAAAAGTGGAGTATGTCCCCGCTGGGGACTCGAACCCGGGCCTCGGGCTGTCACGCCCTCTGCAGCCAGAGGACGCTCCTTCTCTGTCCTGTCTTTCATTTCCGGTTCTTTGCTGTCCTTCCGGTGTTGCTC